CGCGGGTTCGAGACCCACCTGGGCAACTTGGCGAGACCTCATCTCTACAATAAATCAAAAATTAGCCAGGCGTGGTAGCGCATGCCTGTAGTTCCAGCTACTCGAAAGGCTGAGGCGGAAGGATCGCTGGAGCCCAGCAGGACGAGGCTACAGTGGCCAGGAGCGGCCACTGCACTCCAGTCTGGGCGACAGAGTGAGACTCCAACTCCAACTCCAAAAAAAAGAAGAGTTTCCTCTCTTTGTTGGTAGTTAACGGCTGTCCATTGAAAAGTATGTACAGAGTGCTCTAAACATGCTGCCATGCACAGAACATACTTCCCCCCCAGCTCTGGTCTAATAGTTTATCTAGAATCTGAAGCACATCCAAAACCTTTTCATTTATCTTATTTGTACATTTATATTTCTGTATTAAATATTAAAACAAAGCAAGCATTAAAGCCAAAAATACATAATTGTATCAACAATTGAGAGAAATTTATCTTTCTTGTTAATTTTTAATTATCACAATTATCGCCTGATAAAACTGTCCATATCCCCAGACTTTGATCAGTACGTTCAAGTAATTTCTAATATCTAGCTCTAACACCCTTTAAAAGATTATAATTCGAACTCAGCACTTAAATTTGGATCTTTAGGCCAGTTTCTTTGATCAAAGTCTTTTTTTTTGAGTTAATCTTTACCTTTACATTCCCTGTAGTAAAATACCCTTATAACTTCTTTCAGTTTGTGGAGAGAGTCCTATGTTTGTTATTGTCTTTTCTTTGTGTGTGTGTATTTTGTATGAAATAATTCACCTTGGGTCTCAGATCCCTTGGAACCTCTCTTTCCTCCATATAATGTGACTGAAGATGGAAGAATCTTTGAAATGTGTTCTCATGAATACCTTTAATCTACCATTACTTTTTTTTCTCATGAGGAGACAGCATTCTTTTCTGTTTCTTGAGTTGGAATCTCATAATGTTGCCTAGGCTAGAATACAATGGCACACTCACGCACTCCAGTGTCGACCTGCTGGGCTCTGGCGATCCTTCTGCCTCAGTCTTCCAAGGTGCGCGCTACCACATCCAGATAATTTTTAAAATTTATTTTAGAGATGTTGTCTTGCCAAGTGGCCCGGGCTGGTCTTGAACCTGTGGGCTCAGGCAATCCACTTGCCTTGGCCTCCTAAAGTGCTGGGATTACAGTTGAGCCCCTGAGCCCGGCCTCTTTTCTATTCTTAAGGAAGAGAGAATCACGGATTCACCCACTCACCAGTTATCAACAAGAAATTGCTAGTTGGGTGTTATATGATATCTAAATGTAATGATTTCCAAGAATTGTTTAAAACCTTTGCAACATGCTTGAGCAGTGAAGTTCAAAGTACATATGCAAATATGTACCATAACATAATCTTTGAAATAAGACATTGAAACACAATATTTAAAATACAGTTTTAACATCTAATTAGAAACCGAAGCCTATAAGATACATATGTACCAGCAGAATGCTTAAAAAATATCAACAAACATAAATGCAAGGTTACGGAAATTATTAAACAAATGGTAATAGAATCTGAGAACCAGAGAGAACTTATTTTACTGATATGTCCACCCATCCATCCACCTTATCATTTATTCCTTCACTTTCACCCCATAACCCACTTCTGTTCTTCTTAGAAACAAAAAATATAAAACATTTTATTGTGCTTAACTTTTTTCTTTTTATTAGCACAGTTCTTTTGTAAAATATGTAGTGTTGCTTAGGTTTATCTATTTTTAATTTATGCAGTTATTGAGTTCTTGTTGCATTCTGTTTCTTGCTTTTGCTACGGGCACTCTGCTTTTAAGATTCATCCCTTTTGCCATATATATTTAGTCCATGTGTATATCCTCCACACATTACCAGTTCTCTCTTCCAGTGATGGATACCCAGATTGCCTCTAATACTATAACAATTGTAAGTAATACTGCAGAGAAATCATTAATATCTGCTCTTTATTATTATCATTTTAAATTGGTTTTTGGGTTTGCTCTGTAGCTCTTTCTTCAACTTCTTTTTATTGATTTATCTGAGATAGTGTCTCACTATGTTTCCCAGGCTGGACTCGTAATCCTAGGCTCAGGTAAACCTTTTGAGTAGCTGAGATTATAGATGTGAACTGCTGTGTCTGGTATCTTTACTCAACTTCCTGAGTTGTAATACTTAGCTTATTTATATTTACCATTTTGTTTGCTGGTATATATACTTAAGTTATACTTTTACCTTTAAATATTACTCTAACTTGTGTTCCATAGATTTGGACAAGTATTATTTTTATTGTCATAATAAATATTAAAAGTCTTTTAAGTATAACTTCCATAGAGAATAATGTGTTAATTACAAGCTTGATAGATTACCAAGTGAGCCACTAATGTAATCACCACCCAAGTCAAGAAATGGAACATGAGTACAATCCTAGAGGTCTCCAGATGTCCCCAGTCAATACCACTTCTCTTATTCTCAAAGGTAGCCTCCCTCCAGACTTCCTACAGTATTGTTTTGTCTTGCCTGTATTTGAATAGGAGTCTTTCGGTATGCACACATTTATGTTTGTCTTCTTTTGCTCAATGTTTTGCTTGTGAGATGAATCCTTATCGTAGGTAGCGGTAGATAACTGTTTTCATCACTACACATCAGTAGTTTTCAACCATGTTGATTGCCCCAGAGGGCAATGTAGAGATACTGTGGCTGTCACAACTTGGGGGTGATTACTGCTGGCATCTAGTGTGTACGGGGTGCTCTAAACATCCTATAATGCACAGAGTATACCTACCCCTAGTTCCCAGCAAAGACTTACCTAGCTTAAAATGTCATAGTGCTGAGGTTGAGAAACCCTGTTGTAGTACTGTATTCCATTGTATTACTATACCAAATCATATTATTCGTTTTACTTTTTTCTTTTGTGTGGGAGTCTCAGTCTGTCACCCAGGCTGGAGTGCAGTGGCACACTGCTCACAGCCATCATAGCCTCAACCTGCTGGGCACAGGCAGTCTTTCTGCCTCAGCCTTCCAGGTAGCTGGAACCACAGGTATGTGCTACCATGCCCGGCTAATTTTTTGATTTATTGTAGAGATTAGATCTCGCCATGTTGCTCAGGCAATCCTCTCACCTCTGCCTCCCAAAGTGCTGGAATTATAGGCTTGAGCCACTGTACCTGGCCTCGTTTTACTTTTGAGGGAAATATGGGTTATTTACAGTTTTTAGTGTTATAAAAACTGTTATGATTATGCCTGAACACATATATTTTTGGTGCAGATTTATACACATTTCTATTGGATATATACCTGTGAGCAATTCATGGACACAGGGCACGTGTGTTCAGCTTTCGTAGCTGATTCCAAACCATTTTCCAAAGTGGTTGTACCAGTTTACACTATCATAGCCATGTGTTAGAGTTCCATTTGCTCTATATCCTCACCTTTTCTTAGAATTGTCGGGTCTTTAATTTTAGCCATCCTAAAAGGTACATAAATGTTATCTCATACCCTTGCTTAATCAGCACTTCTTTTCTGCTCCTAAAGGTACATGACATTTCCTGATTACTGGTGAGATTGAGCACTTTCCATATGGTAATTAGCCAGTTTTTTATTTTTTATTTTTATTTTTGAGTTGGAGTCTCACTCAGTCGCCTATACTGGAGTGCAGTGGCCACTCCCGGCCAACGCAGCCTCGCCTACTGGGCTCCGGCGATCCTTCCACCTCAGCCTTCCAAGTAGCCGGAATTACAGGCATGTGCTACCACGCCTGGCTGATTTTTTGATTTATTGTAGAGATGAGGTCTCGCTGCTCAGGCGAGTCTCGAACCCGCGGGCTCAGGCAATCCACTCACCTCAGCCTCCCAAAGGCGCGGGATTATAGGCTGAGCCACTGAGCCCGGCCAATTAGCCAGTTTTTTAAAAAGAACGATTTAGATTTACAAAAATATCGAGAAGATTCCCACATGCCCCCTCACCCAGCTTCCCCTAATAACATTTTACGTTAGTGTGGTTCATTTGTAAGAAGTAGTGAACCAATAATACATTATTAATTAAAGTTCATGGTTTAGATAAAGGTCTGTCACTGGGGCACACTCCCCCCCCCAAAAAAAAATTCATGGTTTATTTGCATTTCATTAGTTTTTACCTAATGTTCTTTTTCTTTTCCAAAATCCTATCTAGGACACCACATTACATTTAGTTGTCATCTCTTTCTAGGCTGTGACTGTTTCTCAGAATTTTCTTGTTTTTGATGAGTTTGACAGTTTTGAGGAGTGCTGGTCAGGTATTATGTCGGATGCCCCTCTCTTGGAATTTGGCTAATGTTTTTCTTATGATTAGACTTGGTTAAAGGTTTTTGGGAGGAACTGTATTTTTTAAAAACACCGTTGGTATTGGTTAGCTAATATTTTCCTTAGAATTTTTGCTTCTGTGTTTTTAAGTGAATGAGTCTATAATGTTTTTATATATATATTTCCTTTAATGCCTTAAGGAACAAAGTTATATTATATTAGTCCCTTAAAATCATTTGGGGAAAATTTCTGTTTTTCCTTTTTCTGTCACAACTTAGGATAGGAATTTTTCAGTTCCCTAAAGTGTAGTAAAATTTACCTGCATAAAAAACTCTCTGGAGCCTGACATTATAAAAGTATCCCTTGTGATTATAAATTAAAAGTAGGCTTGTAAAACTAGTGGAAGGAGAAGAGCAGAAGGTCAAAGCGAGAGCTGCTGGAATACTGCCAAAGGGCGGGCAGAGAAGTTGGCTCTGTGACTGTAGGAGAAGGACGATGAGATAGTGCCAAAGAAGAAAGAGCAGGGGTTCGAGAAGGGGATTGGTCAACACTGTCAGTGCAGAGGGGTCACATGAAAAAAGAGGACTAGATAGTGTCAAAGCATTGGCTTTGGCAGCAGGAAATTGTATGTGACATTAGCAGAAGCAACTGACAGAAAATTACTGCTTACAAAGTTATGTATCAGCTCTCGAGGAGAAGGTTCTTAAATTATTTTTTTCTTCTTTTCACAGAATCCAAAAGATGTGTTGACCAGGTATGGGCGCCTGCTTTCTTATGGGGACCGGAATGGAGTCATAAAGATACAGATTGAACAGAGGGGAAACAACGCCTCGGCTCCATAGATCAGTCCAGCACGTGCTGAGGGCGTCTGGGGAAGAAAAGTTCTACTGTTGACTTTTGCGAGGAGGAATGGGAGCAAAAGTGATCTGACCTTTGCCCTGGGAACCTGTGATTAGAAGTTGGGAGTGTTGGCTGCCCTTGTTGTCTCCTAAGAAGACCTTTCTGTCCTTTCTTAGGAGTGATACCCAGGATCTGAACTATTCCCCTGAAGTTCTAAGGGTGAAGACACCATGCCAGATTCCACTGATGAAAGAAATGTTGAAGCGATTCCAAGGTGAGCAAAATTTCCAGGACTTGGGGCTCCCTAGAAATCTTCCAAGTCAGAGAATAAGCAGAGAAGTCTGGAAAGGAAAGAGGAAGCAGAGCATGCAGCTAATAGGACTGTCAGGAAAAATGGTGATAATTAATGGGGATGTGCTTCATCCAAGAAACATTTTCTTAACACACACTGTGTATTACAAGGTATCAGTGATACAAAAGGAAAGAGACCTGTTCTCTTCTTTCTAAGAGTTCATAAGCAAATTGGAGAGACAAACACATATCCCATACCATAATACAGTAGGAGGTAATGCTTGTCAGTGGTAGGAATAAAATGTGACAGTAGTACAAAGGAAGAGCTCTGTTGAGGCTGAGGTGGGAAGGTTCTCACAGCAGAGGTGACAGTTCTGAGATTTGAAGGCTTAGGAGGAGTTTGTCAAGTGGAAAATGGGGTTGTACTCTTCCAAGCAGAGGCAGCAGCATGAGCGAAGGTGTGGAAAAAACGGAGGGGAGGGTATCCAGTGTAGTTAAACCATAAGGTGTGTTTTGGGGAAGATGGGGCTGAAGCTGAGAAGAGGCATGTAGGAAAGACTGAGAACAAGCTCACTGGATCTCCAGGCAGTCACCAAGGCCCGCGTGTGTTGTGAAAGCTGTGCAGGCCGTTCTCCTGTGCTCATCCCTGATGAAGAACCACGTGGTGGATGTCCGTGTCCAGCCAAACTAGAGTCATAGGGACTTGATTTACTCTCTTGTCTGCAACAGCTAAAAACAAAAACAAAAACCAGAACATTCCCAATACACAAAATAATAGTTTTCAAAGCACTGAGCATCAATGAAGGACAGTGATTCCTAACAAATGTGAAACCAACGAGGTGAGCTCCACGCCCTGGCCTACAGCCTTGAGGGAATTTCCAGGCCATTTCAGGGTGGAGAAACTGAGGTAGAGCCATTCCTCACTGAGTTGAGGAATGGAGCTGAGAGTCCCCAGAGACAAAGCAGTGAGAATTCACAGAGTACTGAACTGTGTATTGGAGAGGGGCGAGCCTTACAGAGGGTGAATCCTGACCATTTACAGAGGAACTTCCTGAGAATTCAGCAGAGTTCTGATCTGCATGGCTTGTAAAAAACTACTCTAGGCTAAAGAAAGAAGCTTCTAAAGTGATTAGCAAGAACAGTGCTTGTTCCTATCTGCCAGACATGGGGCAGTGGGTAGCTTACTCAGGAAAACCTTGCATCATTAGAAGAGAATATTTAGCCCTTGACTGAGTACAGCTTCACACCTACCTTATAAATCATGAAAGCAAGACCCAAAAGGATCAGGCTGTTTCTAGGTAACTTAACTGCATCCCAGGACAAATCTCAAGAAAATTGAAGAATGAAAAAAAAGAGCACCCAACAATGTAAATTCACAATGCCTGGCATCTAACCAAATACTGTATTATCAAGCCTGCAGAAAGATAGGAAAGCAGTGACCAGTGAGGAGGCGAATAATCAATTGAAACTCACCTAGAATTGACTTAGATGTTAAAATAAGCATAAAAGGACACTAAAACATTATATAACTGTATTCTGTAAAGAGACATGAAAGGTACAAAAAAAGATCCAGATCAAGCTTTTAGAGATGAATATTATGGTGACTAAGGTAAAGAATGCACTGGTTAGGATTAATAGTTGATTAGACATTACAAAAGAAGCAATGAGTGAACTTAAAGACAGAGCAGTGGAAACTGCAAAGTTAAACACACAGAGAAAAAAAGAATTTAAGAAATGAAAAGAGCACCAGTTTTTTTTTTTTTTTTAATTTTTTTTAAGGTGGGGTCTCGCTCTGTCACCCAGGCTGGAGTGCAATACATTATCACAATAATCATGCCTCATGGCAGCCTTGACCTCCTGGGCTCAGGAGGTGTATCCACCTCAGCATCCCAAGTAGCTGGTACTACAGGCATACATCATCATGCCTGGCTTTTTAAAAAAAATGTTTAAGTTAACATTTTTTTTTTGGTAGAGAAGGGTTTTGCTATGTTGCTCAGTCTGGTCTTGAACTTCTGGGCGCGAGCAGTCTGCCTGTCTTGGCCTCCCAAAGTGCTGGGATTACAGGCATGAGCCACTGTGCCTGGCTGGTTACAGTTTTGATTCAGTAAGTCAGAATTTGTTAGTATCTCTCCAAATTTTATGCTAATTGAGAAAGCCTGGGTCATGAAATAATGAGCTCCTCATTTAGGGCTTTGTCTCTTAAAGAAGAGAAATGATACTTTCAGGTTACTAAAGGCCATACTATGGCCTGCCAGGCTCCGTTGAAAATCAGTTGGGAGGCAGTGAGGAGTCTCATCTCTTAACTGCTTGTTAGGAGGAGCACGGTGAAACTGAAGCTGGGAAAGGGACATTTCTGGAAGAGGGCTGGTGAAAAACTGTTGCATTGTTTATCTCAGCTCTTATTTTCTCTGCAGTGGCTGTAAGCCTAGCTGAAGACACAGCTCATCCCAAACTTGTCTTCTCTCAGGAAGGAAGATGTGTGAAAAATGCAGCATCAGCCAGTACTTGGCCAGTATTTTCTACAGCATGGAACTACTTTGCTGGATGGAGAAATTCTCAGACAAGCACACAGTTTGCAGAGAAATTTCAATACTTACCCTGCGTTCTGGGAAAAAACGTTTTTACTTCAGGGAAACATTATTGGGAGGTTGAGACTAGAGATGGCCTGGAGATTGCCATGGGGGTGTGTCGGGAGGATGTCATGGGGATTACTGATAGGTCAAGAATGTCCCCCAATGTGGGAATCTGGGCTATTTATTGCAGTTCAGGTGGCTATCGGCCCCTAACAAGCCTCTCTGGAATTCCTACCAAGCAAGAGCCAGCTCTTCAGCGGGTGGGAGTTTACCTAGATCATGGGGCAGGTAATGTCTCCTTCTACAGTGTAGTGGATGGAGTACACTTACATACTTTTTCTTTTTCTTTGGTCTCACGCGTCCGCCCGTTCTTTTGGTTGAGTCCATTAGCATCTTTAGTCATCTTACCAGTGACTGATAAGAAATGAGGCTATTCTTCTGCTCAGAATCCCTTCCCTGAATGCCAGCTCAGGACCATACATCCCCTGGTCCTCTTCTTTCACTTCATGGGTCTCTGTCCTGGGTCTCCCTGATTGAACTGTTTTTTGTTCACCTTTCATGTGCTTCAGAAGAGGCAGTTCCATGGGGGCAATTTTGACCAATAGAAACGGGACAGGAAATTTTCAAAGGTGCTTCTGGGGAATATTTTTGTAGCTTTTAAATAAGATTTTTGGAAAGACATAGCCCCACTTTTGATGTTAGCAGCTGTACTGGAACCAAGGAGAACACAGGAACAGTGGAAAGGTAGAAGAAACAGTCTTTGATGCAATCGTTAAACTTTTGAAATTTCCTAATTTTAAGCTTATTATATGAGATACTCCCTTATTGTATAAAACAATTTTAATTGCATTTGGTTACTTGTAGCCTGACATACTCTGATACCAAAGTGTGAACATCCTACAGTATCTCAGTGTGAAACATCTTACAGTATCTCAGTTTTGTGAAATTTGAGAAAAGCATAGAATTTTTTTCTCTTATTTCCTGCAAGCACTGATTCTCCTGCTTTTCTGGCTCAGAAAATTGAGGAAGTTTCCCCTCGCTGTGCCTACACTGCTCTTCCCTTCTTCCAGACCATGTCTCTGCCCTCAACTGTTTACTGTGCTGTACATGTGTCAAGTTCATATATCACTTGTACAGGGTTATTAATGTCATGAGGATATTGAGAAACGGTTAAGTATTTACATAGCCTGTTCATATAATGCTATTGCACATGACTTTCCACAGCTCAGTGAAATGGAAATTAAAATCTTATTATTAAAAGGAGAAAACTGAACTGTGTAGCTTAGTATTGTGTAGCTGGCAAATGGGAGTGTTGGGATTAAAATCCAGATTTGTCTAAAGTGAAAGCCCACATTCTTTTCTACTCTATTTTTATTTGAAAGCATTTATGAAATGCTAAGTGTGGGTGGCCTCATCTTTGTTTCAGGTTGTTATTTTGTTATTAATATATGCTTTAATCCTGCGTATGTTCCCTTCAGCTGTAGATTGTATGTATTCAGAGGACTGTGATAATTACTGGATAGTTATTTTTAAAATAGTGATTGTTTCTCTCTGGCTGTAAAAGTCATGTGTACTTAGTGTAGAAAATTTGGAATATACAAAAAGTATAAATTAAAGTTATCCATAATCCCACCACTACTAACATTTTGATGTATTTTCTTCTAGACTTTCAATAAAGACTTTCTGGCAGTCACTTAATGAAGATTCTCATAAAACTTCCAGTACCTTCCCTAACACTTCCTATGTCTCAGCCCATCCTGACTTATCTTCCTATTCAGCTTGAGCAGCTCCAGCATTCAGTAAGTTCTCCTGAGTTCTCAGCTTCCCATGATACTTGATGTTATGGGTTGAATTGTGTTTCCCAAAAAGACATATTGAAGTCCTACCTGTGAATGTGACTGTATTTGGAAATAGGATCTTTGCAGATGTAATCAAGTTAAGAAGAGATCATTTGAGTGGGCCCTATTCCAGTATGAATGGTAGCCTTATAAGAAGAGGGAAGAATCTATACATGTACACACACACACACACACACACACACACACACACACACACACACACACACACACGAAAATGGCAGATGAAAACAGGGAAGGTGGCTGTGGGAGACAGAGGCAGAGATTGGAGTGATGCTGCTACAAACCAAGGAACATCTGGGGTTACCAGAAGCTGGTAAAGGCCAGGGAGAATCCTTTCCTAGAAACTTGGAAGGGAGCATGGCCGCACCAACACCTTGATTTCTGGCTTCTAGCCTTCAAAACTGAGGATGGACAATACATTTTAATGTTTTAAGTCACATGAAAACATTTGTTGTGACAGCTCTAGGAAATGAATAATACGTACCCATCAGGACTTCTCCAGCACCTGTCTTACTAGTTTCTAGTCCTTTGGAATTATCAGTACCTTTCCTCCACGCTTCCTTCTGGGCTGTTTAACGATTGATTGATTCTACTGTAAATTCTTGCTCTCTGACTTCAGGTGGTCTCTTTGAACCACGTAATAAACTCTTACTTTTTATTCCTCGACTTCCCTTCGCATTTTTGGTGGAAACAGTCCCAAATCTTTTCCTCTGAAGCCTTCCTGAGTCCCCTTTATACTCCCTTGCAAAGTACCTGCATCTTCAACTGAGAACAATTTTTTTTCCTTACTCATCTTACTTTATTCTTTGGGTTTTTGAGTCTTGATATTGTCCCCTCTGGTCTCATTAGGTATGGGATGGGACCTAGTTGTATTTTTTTAAAAAGCAAAAAAAAACCAAACAAAAAAACCCAACAAGCCTACAAACTTACTATGCTTTTTGATGTACAAACAGGATTGAGAATAAACTGTCAGTTGTAAACTAAAGATAAAATCCTAAGGCCCACAGACGACTGAACAGATTCTCTCTGGGCCAAGGGGACTCCAGAGAAACCTGAGAAACTGAGTTCCTTGCCACTACAGGTTAAAGCTTAGATATACCCCCTCCCTTTTGGGATTTAGACACAACTGACCAGCATTCATGTTAAATAAAGAGGCCATGACTAACAAAACGGACTCTGTGACAATGAAATGCCAAATTGTAAACAGGACCTAAGGCCATGCCAGACAAGGCTTAAGTCACACCCCTATAGGTCACTCTGACCCAGTGTATTGGTTAACAGACTTCCTCATCTTAAACATTCCTTTCTGCTGACTCCAGATTTTTAGATAAAGCTTTACTTATTAAACCAATTACAAATTAAAGAATCTCTGAACTCACCTATAGTCTGTAAATGTCTCTGCTTCAAGGTATCCTGTGTTTTGGGGTCAAGCCAATGTATAGTCTTCATATATTGTTATATGACTTTGCCTGTAACTTCTACTTCCCTAAAATGTATGGAACAGTTGTGACCTGGCTGCCTCAGGACCACTTACTCAAGGCTTCTTGGGTTTGGGTTTTTTTCTCCCAGGGCTGTTGTCACTCATATTGGTTTAGAATAAATCTCTTTAAAATGTTTTACAGAGTTTGGCTTTTCTGTTAACACAGTTTTCAATATTATCAAGGTATTTATCTGAACCTTTACTATGTTAATGTATAATTTGACTCATTAGGAGGAGTATTTATTATGCAGCATTTTGCAAACTTATTTTACCACAGGAACTTTTGCTCTGGAAACAGCAATGAAGGCTTCCCAGAAGACACTATTTTATACTTTTTTGGGCCCTCTCAACCATCTCAGATTTCAACCCCTTGTTTCCAGTGGCTTGAGATCCAGGCTCATGCCCCTTGGTTCTCCGAAGTCAGTGGTGTCCTCATGGGCTGCCTGCCCTGAGCCCTGTGCTCCAGGCTCGGTCTGGCAGAGCTTGAGCGTCCATCTTCCCCTGTTCTCTGACTGGTGGGGAAGAGGGAAGAGAGAGGAAACGGGGAGGCAGAGGAATCCGTTAATCTGGCCTGGCTCCAGAAAGGCAGGTGGAAATAGGTCTTAGCGCACCGTGGACTCTGGAGACCTCTTGGGTTCTTAGAAAGGGAGGCTGGAAGTGCCGACCAGGTGGATCCCAGAGCAGGACTGCATGCCAGTTCTTGGCTGGGCTGCCGTCCTGGGGCCTAGGATGTATGGGTGTCTGGGAGCACATGGATGTCCCTTTTGGAGGGCGAGGCTTTTCACTGGTGATGTTAATCTCCACCACTTGGGTAAGGTAACACTTTCCAGCTTTCTCTATTGTAAGGTTTCCATTTTTCCTTTTCCACATTTGTGCTTTGAAAGCCAGTCACTAAATCTAGCTTATGCTCAAGGGGGCTGAAGAGGGAGGGAGAAGAGGACTTATGGACATTATTTGTAATGTTTCAGTGTGAGAGACCTCTCCCATTTGTTTATTCAGTCATTTATATCAGAATGGGCTCATGGAAATTTGTTTTATCCTTTAGGTTGTAATTCATTATCACATTATATTGCTCAAAGTATTCCAGCTTTGGCCATTAGGAACTCTTTCGGGTTGACTCTTGTGTTCCTTTAACATGTTTCCATCCTTCTGTTTTGAACACTTCCTTATTTTCTGGCACTAAAGCTTGCCCCAGGCTTATCTTTTATTTTCATTGTCCCAATCCTAGAATTCACCATTTCTCCAAAAAGCCCTGTTTACTTTTGAGATAGCAGTTGTACTGAGAGTAGTTTCATAGGATAAACAGCAAAGCTAATATCTCAAGGAACTGAGACCATAGGTTACTGTCTGAGACCCCAGAGAGAGAAACCAGGATGTGGTTCAGAACCAGTTAAAGCCAGCTAGAACCAAGATGGCAACTAATTTGTTGCTATTGCAGCCTTGCTGCTCATTATAAAACATGAGCATACTAGATGACAGACCCTCCAGCACCATGACAGTTCCAACCCTGTCCATTTATAGTAGCAAACTGGCTGGAACCTCAGTTCTTAGAACTCTCCATCTCTTTTTCAGGAAACTCGTGAATATTCCATTTCTTGATTAGCATGTAAGCAAGGGTTAGCTATAAAAATAAAACCCCAGCGTTATATGGCTGCTGCTGTTCGATAGATTGGCCAAGGCTATGGAGTAACCTGTTGTCATTTCTGTACCTTTGCTTTCGTTTTCCAACTGTAACCTCAGCGATGTATGGAGGTTGCTCAGTTTATAGAGTGGCCTTTCTGTTCTTCCTTTCAGTAAACTTACTTTTGCTTTGCTTTGTCAGCTTGCCCTGAATTTTTTCCCGTGCACAGCCAAGAACCCTCTAGATCTCTTTGGCTAGATCCCAACTTTGAGGTCCCCCGTCCTTTGTCACTTTTATTGCAGGATGGTATTTAGAAACCAAGATCTGGGCACTTGGTATGCTCATTGCAACTGGGTATCATTCGTCTCTCAGTGGACAAAGATAGGATACACATGCATGTACTAATCCAGGTACATACACATTTCTGTAATTATTTCTATATATATTCAGCTAAACAAATTAATACTGATGTCTCTAACTGTAATCCGGTCCCACAAGATTCATTCTAGCCTTCCCTCCTTATTTGTGGTTTTGTTTTCTGATAGTAAGAAACCTAGTTTTCACCATCTATAATCCATTCATAATCCCAGCATACATGAAAGCAAGTTCAGAATTGTTAATCTGTATCCAGCAAGGGATTTATCAACTAGAGTACAGTACAGTGTTTATATACGATTCTTTTTGCCTTTAACCTTATTTTTTCCCATCAAAATACTGCCAAAGTTACTTCAGTTCCTTTCCCTACCACCTCATCATCTTTGAGGAGGCTATGTAATATAGTTGTAATATGGTTGGATTCTTTCTCATAGCTTGTATTTCTTCCTGGAATTCTTCCAATATCCTGTTTTTAAAAAATGTAATTTTTATGTAAATATTACAGTACATTCTTTTTGGCATACAGTTCTATGGATTTTGACAAATGCATAGAATTATGCATTAACCACTCTAGTACCATATAGAACAGTTCCATCACCCTAACATTACCTTGTGTTTCCCCTTTGTAGTTATCCGTATGCTCTTCTAACCCGTATACACTTTTCCATCACTGTAGTTTTGGCTTTTCCAAATCGTCCTTTAAATGGAATTAAACAGTATGTATCCTTTGTGCTTGACTTCTTTTACTTAAAAAAATGCATTTAAGATTCATCCATGTTGTGTGAATCAATAGCTCACTTTTTACTACTGGTAAATAGTATTTTATTGTCTGAATGCACTACAGTTTGCTAATCCATTCATCTGTGGAAGGATGTTTTGGTTGCTTTCAGTTTGGGGCAACTATGAATACAGCTGATATAAACAATTGTGTAACATTTTCTTTGTGAACATATCTTTTCAATACATCACATAATTTCAACTCACTTGGGTGCATATGTAAGAGTGTATATATTAAGTCTGTTTAACTTTATGAGAAATTGCCAAACTGTCTTCCAAAGTAGTTGTACTGCTTTGCATTCTCAGCAGCAATGAATGCAACTTGTTTCTTTGCATTCCCATCAGAAAATGATATTTTCAGGATTGTTTGTTATAAAACAATTTTACACCAAAATTTTGTCCTTTAACTTGGTATAAAAGTTAAAAGACAAAAGTATAAAGAATAACTATAACATAAACATTTGCTAATAGATATATAATGTAAAAAAGAAGTAAATCATGGCATCAATAACTGTGTGTATTGGGGGGAAGTAAAAGCATAGAGTCTTTGTATGTGGATGTCTTTGAATGTATGTCGTTGAAGTTATTATCAGTTTAAAATAGACTGTTACAACTATAAGAAGTTTTATGCAAGCCTCACTGTAACCACAAGGAAAAAAAATCTATAGTAGTTGCAAAGAGAAAATAAAGTATATCACTACAAAAAATTAATCAAAACCCACACACCCAAATCAAGAGAGGAGAAAAATAACTACAAGACTGACAGAAAACAGGTCACAAAATGGCAAGATTAAGCCCTTATCTAGCAATAATTTGCTTTAAATGTAAATGGATTAAACTCACTGATCAAAAGACAGAGTGGCTGAATGGATTAAAGAAAATAAGATCCAACTGTATGCTGTCTGCAAGAGACTTGGCATTAAGAACAAGCATAGGCTGAGAGTGAAGGGTTGGAAAAAGATATTCCATGCAAATGATATTCAAAAGAGAGCAGAGGTAGCTATACTTATGTAAGAGAAGATAGACTTTAAGTAAAAAACAACCACAAAAGCCAAAGAATGTCATTACATAGTAATAAAAGGATTAATTCAATGGGAACATATGATAATTATAAATATATACATACCCCAAATGAGAGCACCTAAACATATAAAGCAAATGTTGACAGGTTAGAAGGGAGAAATCAGTAGCAGTGCAATATCAGTAGACTTCAGTACTCCTCTTTCAATAATGAGTAGATCTTCCAGATAAAAATGAATAATGAAACAGCAAATTGAACACAGCAGTAGGCCAATGGACCTAACAGATGTATGCAGAACATTCCACCCCCAAACAGCAGAATGCAAATTCTTCTCAAGTGTTCATGGAACATTCTCCACGAGAGATCATATGTCAGGTCATAAAACAAGTCTTAACAAATTTAAGAAGATTGAAATTATTCCAAGTAACTTTTCTGCTACAATGAAATCAAAACAGGAATCAGTAACAGATGGAAATGGGACGATTCACAGGTAAAATTAAACTCTTGAACAACCATTGGATCAAAACAAAAATAAAATGCCTCCAAACTGGTAAGGGAAAAAGTCAAGCTATCTCTCTTTGATTTTATATGTAGAAAACCTTAAAGACTACAACAAAAATCTCTTAAAACTAATACACGAATTTAGCAAAGTGGCAGCTTACAAAATCAGAATAGAAAATCAATTGCATTTCTATACATTAATAAGCTTCAGAAAATTAAGAAAACAATCCCATTTATAATAGCATCCCAAAATAGCTAAAAATAAACCAAACCAGAGAAGTGAAAGACTTGTACACTCAAAACAATAAAACACTGATGAAATGAAAGCAAACACAAATAAATAGAAAGACATTCCATGTTTATGAATTGGAAGTATAATATTGTTAAACTGTTCACATTGCCAAAAGCAACCTAAAGGTTCAATGCACTACCTATAAAAATCCTAGTGGAATTTTTTTTTTTTTAACAGAAACAAAAAAATTCCAAGACTCACATAGAACTACAAAAGACCCCAAATATCCAAAATAATTTGAGCCAGAACACAGCTGGAGCTATTATGCTTTCTGATTTCAAAACAGGGTCTTTAGTAAATGGTATTGGGAAAACTGGATATCCATATGCAGAAGAGTGAAATTGGACCCTTATATTATGCCATAATGCAAAAATCAACTCAACATGGATTAAAACTTAAATGTAAGACCTGAAACCATAAAACTCCTAGGGAAAAATGTAAGGGAAAATCTTCTTAACATTGTCCTTTCCAATTATTTAATGGATATGACATAAAAAGCAGGCATTAAAATAAAAAACAGGCAAGTGGGATTACATCAAACTAAAATGC